TGCTTCCTGATTTCCAGCTTGTTGGAAGTCCTCCTCTTTAGTTCCTGTTTTAAGAACTATGGAGAACTTTCTGACCCCCCTCTATCACCCTATTAGTCTCCTACTGCTTTTCAGCAAAGTATTCAAGGCTTTAATCAATGCTGAAGTGGTTAAGTATTTTACATCACACGATCTACACTCTGACAAACAATATGGCTTCCATTTTGCCACGTCTACCACTGATGTGCTAATGGCCATCACTGAATATGTATATCAAGCTCTTCATAATAACAGCAAAGCTCAAGTTGTGGCTCTAAATATCTCAAAGGTGTTTGACAGGGTTTGGCAAACTGGTCTTCTATGTAAGTTCCAAGGCTATGGTATTACAAGATGATTATTTGATTTAATCCAATCATTCCTATCAAATCATGAAATGAAGGTCATTTTGAATGGGCTCACTTCCAAATCCTTTCACACGAACACAGGTGTCTCCCAAGGCTATATCCTGGGTCCTATGCTGTTTCTGATTTTCATCAATGATCTTCCTGATGTCATCAGTTCCCAAATAGGCATTTATGCAGATGACACTACCATTTTCTCCTGTCTCAATAGCAAATCCATCAAAGCTGACAAAGTTAATCTGGATGCTGCTCTTGAAAAGGACCTCCAATCAGTGGTTAACTGGGGCAGGAGATGGCTTGTAAATTTTAATGCCTCCATTTAATCACCATAGAGAAACTTTCCTGTCCACCATCAGCATGTCTGATGCTAGACTCCTGGAGAGTAACACACTGCGCCTTCTTGGCCTCACATTTATAACTGACTTGAAGTGGAATGACTACATTGAATCAATATCTGCATCTACTGCAAGGAGATTTGTGTCACTGTTTTGTGCCAGAAGGTTTTTCTCATCAGAGTCCATCTTGCACATTTACAAATCTAGCATTCGTCCATGCATTGAATGCTGTTGCCATATCTGGTCTGATGCTCCTGCTATTTATCTCAAGGTTCTTGACAAAATTCAAAGAAGGATCTGCAATGTAATCAATCTTGACTTGGTATCTCAACTTCAGTCACTTTCTCACCGATATGACATGGCTTCCCTCTGTCTTTTCTACAAATATTTTCATGGCAACTGCTCTGACAAAATTTTTTCCCTGGTGCCCTGACTACATGAATTTAAGCATGCTACTAGATTGGCATCTAGGTCCCACCCTTTTGCTGTTAAAATATTTAAATGTAAACACCACTTCCTCTTCAGCAGTTTCTTTTCTCTCACTTCCCACTTGTGGAACTCCCTTCTGTTTACTTGCTTTCCTGAAAACTACAATCTTGAGAAATTTAAATGCAATGTCAATTGTCATTTTCTATCTTCTTGAATCCCATTCATCTTTTATCCTTTCCTCAATCTCCCCTATGTCCAGTCTTTTCTCTCATTTTCACTCTCTGTAACCCCTGCATACTTGTGGCATTCCTGCCTTGCTTGGGGTGAAATGATTTTAAAAAAATAAAAAAGGGTATCTCATAATAAAACAAATGATTTTACAAGTAGATGTTTCACGCTGAAAAGAACATGTATACTATTAACAGTGTTGATAATTGCATAAATGCTCCCCCAACCTCACAAAAAAAATTAAAAAACATGGATTTTGCAGGTAGCCTGAAAATTCATCTGACCATAATCCTACCATCTTGGAGCTATGATGAAATTGTGTGCTAAAAACATTGTTTTGGACCCCCACCCCAACCATTAGCAAAACTCAGAACAGCATTTTCTAGAGATGGAATTAAAAGCAAAAACACCAAATGCTTAGAAATTTCTTTTCCTCATCTAGGTTGGATTTTGATAGGAAATCAAAATATCATATCGACTGCAAAAAGCCAGCTTTTATTATGAGATAGCCTTTACATATATGATTAGAACTCTTGGAATAACAACTAGCTTTGGATACAATACCCATTATGCCAATCCTCACAGTTATGTGACACAGGCAGATTTGTTATTTGTCAACAACTGAAATCCATACCAATCTGACTTATACATTTATCTACAAAACTAATAGCAATAACTCATCTCAAAATTACAGGATGTATCAAGATAAAACAATAATTAAGGTTAGGGACAATATGAAACATAGAGCAACTCTAACCAAAGATAATTTATTAGACTTAAAAAAAAAAAAAGTGTTTTGTGTCTTTCATCATTGTCACACTATCAGGTATTTAAAAAGTGTCTTCGACAGCATGATTATTATTAAATATTACTCTAGACACTTATTCTTGAAGAAAAGAATTAACCAGGTTGTCTTGTGAGATCATTCTAATGCCAAGAGTTTGATTCTCACTGGGTACACTTATGGCCTTATACTAAACTAAACCAAGGTGCAAAAACTGAAAGAGCAAAGGCTGATGGGTTTTTATCATTCACATTAAAAAACATGATTAACTTGGAAATATTTTCCTATATACAGCACAACCTTTGGGCCCATTTTATCATAAAGGGAATCAATTAGTTAAGAAAAAAAACAGTGTATGTGTCTATATATATAAGTGGTTGGTGAAAAGTTCTCAACTCAACCAACTTTCCAAAATCTGACCAAATGAGCAAACATTCAGAATTTAATTTGAAATATCTTTACTGGGTTGACAATTTTTTCTACACTCTTTCATGTATGTGCATGCGCGTCTTTTACAGATGAAACTTTTAATGAGTATACCAGTAGAAACACCAATCTATATATATATATATATATATATATATATACCTGGCCACCATAGAGATCCTTCCCTGCCCCCCATTAAAATGTCTGATAGTCAACTTCCTGAGAGCAACTCCCTGCGCCTGCTCAGTCTCACGTTGACTGCTGACCTGAGATGGAACAAATACATTGAGTCAATTGCTTCTTCCACCACAAGGAAATTTTTCTCCCCTGAATCGATACTTCAAATATACAAAACAACCATTCGCCCTTGCATGGAGTATTGCTGCCATATATGGTCTGGGGCACCTTCTGCTTACCTCGGAGTTCTTGACAAGATCCAGAGACGGATATGTAATCTAATTGGCCCTGATCTGGCGTCTCGTCTGCAGTCACTCTCTCACAGACGCGTTGTCGCCACTCTCTGTCTTTTCTACAAATACTTTCATGGTAATTGCTCCAATGAGCTGCTTTCACTGGTTCCCAGACTCCATGAATTCAAGCGCCCTATGAGGCTGGCATTGCACTCCCACTCTTACACAATAGAAATTTTTAAATGTAGCCGTCTCTTCTACTCCAATAGTTTCATACCCCACACCTCTCGCCTGAAAGCTATAATCTCCAACTATTCAAATGTAATGTCAATCGACACCTCCAGTTACCTTGATCTACTCACTATCCTTCTCCTCATCCTTTCTTCTATCACTCCTATCTGCTCTCGCTCCAAATCCTCTGCAACCCCCCTGCATCCTAGTTGCTTCACGCCTTGCTCGGGGTGTAATGCTTAAAAAAAAAAACCAAAAAAACTTATATTCGAGGATACCCATCTATTAGAGTACCTAGCCAATCCCTATTGCAGACGCTTGCTCAGGCACATTTGTGTTTATTTAACACCCACAAAGCCCACCAGTGGTTTACACTGCAACTATGCTGAACAGACCTTAGTTACAGTTTCTGGGAAAGATTGTTATCCAGCGTGATCAACAATTTGAACAAGGCCAGCATGCTCAAAGCCTTGGCCACAATGACTTGTGGCTTTGTGCTAGCACAGCTATTGACAACCCCCAAAGGTTATGTCTACTCAATTTCACTCACAAGGCTTGGCTCATCCCATGGTATGATTTTCAAGCACTTCTCAAAGGTGCCACATGTTGATATATATATATATATATATATATATATGTAGATAGATAGATAAGAGGGTGCTGAAAAGTTCTCAATCCAATCCACTTCTTAAAATCTGACCAAATGTTCAGACATTCAGAATTTATTTTGGAATCCCTTTACTAGGTTGACAATTTTTCTGCACCCTTTTATGTATGTGCAATGTTCACATGTGTATTTTACAGAGTATACCAGTAGAAACACCAGTGACCAGATAGTAATATGAGGGATGTCAAGCTGAAGACTTGCTCGACGTACGGACTTACGTGGTCTGCTCTCAAATGCATCATGAATCCTCTCCACTTGCTCCTCTGTAACACGTGGTCTTCCAGGACTCTTTCCTTTGCACAGGCACCCACTCTCTTTAAACTGTCTAACCCACCGTCAAATGCTCTCATGATAGGGCGGATCAATGCCGAATTCTGTTCTGAAAGCATGCTGCACTGTGACTATGGCGTTTGTTTTCGCGAACTCAAGCATGCAAAACGTCTTCTGCTGAGGAGTCGCCATTTTGATTGATCTTCCCACAATTCAGCTGCCTCGGGAGTTATACTAACAACAGCGGTGAAACTGACACCCAATCAAACTTTGATAACTACTCTATCAAATAACCACTGATTCAGTCCACTACAATGCTATAGACCTGAAAAAACAGCGTAATGATTTTGGGGTATTCTTTTTGAAACACCCTGTATATAAAATTATTTCAAAATTATTTATATATTAAAAAACATAAATTGCTTTAATTTTTTACTTTATCATATATATATATATATATATATATATATATATATATATATATATGTGTGCAATTTCAGAGGATATTATAAAATATGCTGAGTTCAATTCAGTAGAACATTAAAATAAGAAATTTAAGATGATTTTTGGAGGGAATTTTTGATGAGGTCAAATTTCTATATATGCATGTGGGACAAAATAGACAATATCCTAATATAATCCAGCTTATTTTGTCCTTACTTAGTTACCAAATTGCAAAAATACAACCAAGCTAAATCATATTAATTAGAATTAAGAAAATTATGAGTAATACTGAAGTGCAAGCTAAATATTCATTACACTATTCACACTGTACTTATTACATTTGCATTCTTGTAAAATCTTTAATACAAGCAAAATAAAGGCTTACAGCCCCATCACATTAAAACAACGGTTCCTATATGATCACTGAAGTTGAGCAACGTTGAGCCTGGTCAGTACCTAGATGGGTAACTGCTTGGGGATACCAGGTGCTGTAAGCTTGGATGTGCAGGTGGTGTAATGGATAATGGCTCTGAATAGTTAATCGGAGAGATGACTTCCAATTGGGTTTGTTATATTCACTTATGCATAAATACCCTTGGGAAAGGTATGAATCCACCTCTTTTTCTCCCAGCTATGGGTTAATTAGTAGGACCAACAGCACTAAATCATTATTAACTGCAAAAAAAAGAATTTAAAGATATTTTATGGTTTTAAATAACCTGCAAATGGTTGATAAGCTGTAAAATATGAATGAATCAATTAAAAAAAAGTGAAGTAGAAATAAATAAATGAAATTCTAAAGCAGGATTTAAGTCCTCTTCACTACTTTTATAGTAATTTACTAATCATAGATTAGATGTGGCACAAGGTTCAAAATATGGTGCACTCAGTGAAGATCAAACTCACTATTCAGTCATGATTGATGTAACAAACAAGATAGCTAACCATTAAACCATGTCACATATACACATAGAGGGTAGCAAGAAATTTTCAAACCAAACTACTTCCTAAAATCAGTATTCTAATGTTTGGTTATTGAAATACTGATTTTGGAAGCAACTGGTTTGTGATATTGCAAATCCTAAAATCAATATGATGAATTTTTTTTTTTTCCAGATGCCACTCCTTTCCTTTTAAGTTTATTGTTCCAGTTGTTGTGAATATTTATACCCTACCTTGGTGGGGTTTGAGAAGTGTGTGTCGATGCTCACTTAATGGGTATGAGTATTCTGTGAAGTGTAATTACACCCCAAATCCACTTAAGCACTTAACAACTTACCCAGGTTTTCAATACTTGGGCTGGGTGCCTACTAGTGGCAGAAGCAAGAACACAAAAGCTCACCATCACCAAAATAAATCAGATGCTCCATCACAGTTAAGGTTGTTGAACTTTCGAATAATTGGTATAGTTTTCTGATGTGAAATAACCTGAAGCACCATTTGAATATTGGCTTTATTTAGGTTGCAGACTTCTGGTTTTATTTTGTTTTTCTTCTTTTTACCTGTGGAAGTTTGACATTGTAGCTTTATAGCTTAAGAATAGAACACAAGTTTGTATTTTTTAAAAAGTACAAAAACAATTATATTATTTACATTTTTACACTTTTGGTCAAACTTCAAGAAAAAAAAATGAGCAAAATACAATAGTTTCTTTTCTATTATTTTTCTCTGATTCTAACTTGAACACTCAAAGTTTTCTAATAACTTTCTGCAGAAAAAATAACCTTGTTGACTCTGACAATTATGTTTTCAAAATCTGACTTCAGACTTGACTATCATTTAGTGAGAGTTTTTTCAATCTCAAGGGAATCATTAAATGATCCATGAGTACTAAAAGTAAGCAACATGTTAAGACAGCATTAGTGTAGGTATAAATAGGTATGAAAAAGCAAATTAATATAAAGCACAAACAAGAAAGTGAAAATATAAACAATTCCTGTGTGGATTTTTGGAACAATGTCATTATGATTATCTAACTAGCATAGAATTGGTAAAAAAAATAGATAGAATTATTTAGATATAGACAAGCAATTTTACTCAGAATGAAAGTTCCACACCCGAGCTCTACAGCTGAGATCAGTTTAGTACCTGTATACTCTCTTAACTTAGTATTTACAATTTAATTTTACCATGCTGTTCAAACAAAAAGGTCCTGTATTGGATACGTCATTTACCTGATCACCTTCATGTCAGATATTTGAATCAGGGCAGAATTCACTTGGTAATTTTATGTGACACTATTTAGCTATGGTAATTGGCTAACTAATTAATCATAGAAATTAAAAACAGGAAAAACTTAAGGCGAGAAAGAGCTATATCGAAAGATAGACTAAGCGACATTTAAAAGAAGATTTTATTTTATTTACGAAGAAAGATACTTTTCACACGAGAAAGAAAATCCATAAGAAAAAGCGAGATATGAGATTCTGTCAAAACTGACTAATGTCATTATAAGGGAGCGATGCACCAAGAGAAACAGAATTCAGAAAGAAAAACAAAGCCAACCGACACATGGCGGCCATAAAAAAATTTGGGCTTGAGACCACTGCTGTACAGGCAAAGACAATCGATATTAGTTATCTCTCAAAGATATCATTTAATTTTAATTCCTGGGTCCAACAAAGGGAACCACCTGGTGTGTGTTAGAATTCTGGCATGAGGAAGAAAATTGTATTATTATTGCATATTCAAACTGTTATAAAGATAATTTGCTATTTCTCAACATATTTGAACCTCTTGAGTTTGTTTTATTGTTTCTTTTACTTACGCTTGTGCGATATCACCTTTACCCCGGATTCGGCTTGCACTACGGCCCAACACCTGATTGATTTTGTCTACCTAAGACCAAAATCACAATGTGGGTAGGTCAGACTTGAGATCAAAGCAGTTACTCCGGTAACCAGACATTGGAAGTGAGCTGGTATCGAACCGGGAATGACCATATCAACCGGGACACAGGCTGGTGGCAGCAACAAAGAGTCAACCCCAAACGCTGGTGGAAGAAACCTTACAGCTTGGCACCACAACTGGGAGTTGACCACGGGCCGACAGTGCAATGTCACATATTGGCATCACGACCAGAGGACGTCACATATTGGTGCTGCGACCATGCCACTGGTGGGTGTCACATTTATATATCTGTTGACTTTGGAATAAGAGAATTTATTGAAAAAGAAATAAATAAAAAGTGATATGGTTCATCCTTACATACCACCTTAAAGGCTATCAAAGGCAACTGTTAAGCTTTATGTCATAACCTATTTATTAAAGTTATAATTATTTACACATAAATAATTAATAAAAATCTAATTATATTTAAAAATTAATGTTAGTTTTACTTGTACTTCAACTAATCTCTAACCAGCAGGAGTCTTATGTCAAATTGGAAAATTCAAAACTTGTTTAAGGAGTACTGGAAAATCCTTAGCCCAACCAAGAAATAAATATCTGATTTTTAGGGATTTGGCCATATTGTATTGTGTATTGAGCTGAGAACTTTTTATTACCTCCTTATATTTGTCACTTCTTTTTCTTATGATGATACTAAGTCTGTATATAGTTCTACATTTCCTGACTCAAGGGATAGACTCAGTTTCTTGTGAAACATAAATTTTTCCAAATATAAAGAGACATACAGACATTAGAACTTAAAAAATGCAATTTTATTATTTACTGAATATAGTAATTTTTTACCTAAAATTGGTTTGGGCAAATATTCCTAATGTGGTACTATTCAAACACTGACCAACTAATTAGGAAAATGTAAATAAGGCTATTTCATTTTCAATAATCCCATTAAAGAAATACAGGAGATGAATGTCCATTTAAATTTCTTTAATTTAACAGATTAATAATTTTCTGATGGCAAATTCTAATAGTGGATTTTTAAAAAGATTTTCTTAAAAAAAAAAAAAATTAAAATAATCTGATTTTAATTTCCATTTTTTTAACAGTTTAATCAGAATTACACAAATGCACAATCTCAATAATAACAGAATTACAAGAAGCAATGTCACTAACCAAAATGATCAATACATCTAACACATCACTGATAGCATCTTACCATTATTTTACAGATGAGGTTTTTGATGATAACTTAAATGTCTACAATAAGTGAGACATACATGACTATAGAAGAAATCCTAAATAAATATGAATGGTTAAAAACCAATTGTATAAAATAATGTTTTTTACAAGTTCGAAAAATTTTCAAAACACCATTAAAATGGATAATTTTTTTTTAATTTTTAGAAGATGACCAACAAAGACAACACTAATAATTTGGAATAATATCCCCATCTTGATTGTGCAACAGTTCTAAAACAATCCTTTTTCTGTTTTTTCTATCAAAGAAATCTGTTTCCATCAATAGAAATTTAGTTTCAGATTGGTTCAGTTTGAAATTCCCAAAAGGTTACCAAACAAATTATCGAAACAGGCCATAGGGTACAAAAGGCCAAAATAAGACTACAAAGATGAGAATATAAGAACATGAATAAGACAATGTATAATTTTCAGTTATTCTATATGAATTCTATATCAATTCATTTGTATTATAACCAAGGAACCTATATCATAATAGAAATTGAGAAAAGTGAGAAAGAAGAGACGGTCAGGGAAGGAATTGAGAAAAGTGATGAAGAAGAGACGGACAGGGAAGGAATTGAGAAAAGTGAGGAAGAAGAGACGGACAGGGAAGGAATTGAGAAAAGTGAGGAAGAAGAGACAGACAGGGAAGGAATTGAGAAAAGTGAGGAAGAAGAGATGGTCAGGGAAGGAATTGAGAAAAGTGAGGAAGAAGAGACGGACAGGGAAGGAATTGAGAAAAGTGAGAAAGAAGAGACGGACGGGAAAGGAATTGAGAAAAGTGATGAAGAAGAGACGGACGGGAAAGGAATTGAGAAAAGTGATGAAGAAGAGACGGTCGGGGAAGGAATTGAGAAAAGTGAGGAAGAAGAGACGGACAGGGAAGGAATTGAGAAAAGTGAGGAAGAAGAGACGGACAGGGAAGGAATTGAGAAAAGTGAGGAAGAAGAGACGGACAGGGAAGGAATTGAGAAAAGTGAGGAAGAAGAGACGGACAGGGAAGGAATTGAGAAAAGTGAGGGAAGAAGAGACGGACAGGGAAGGAATTGAGAAAAGTGAGAAAGAAGAGACGGACAGGGAAGGAATTGAGAAAAGTGAGGAAGAAGAGACGGTCGGGGAAGGAATTGAGAAAAGTGAGGAAGAAGAGATGGTCGGGGAAGGAATTGAGAAAAGTGAGGAAGAAGAGACGGTCGGGGAAGGAATTGAGAAAAGTGATGAAGAAGAGACGGACAGGGAAGGAATTGAGAAAAGTGAGGAAGAAGAGACGGTCAGGGAAGGAATTAAGAAAAGTGAGGAAGAAGAGACGGACAGGGAAGGAATTGAGAAAGTGAGGAAGAAGAGACGGACAGGGAAGGAATTGAGAAAAGTGAGGAAGAAGAGACGGACAGGGAAGGAATTGAGAAAAGTGAGGAAGAAGAGACGGACAGGGAAGGAATTGAGAAAAGTGAGGAAGAAGAGACGATCAGGGAAGGAATTAAGAAAAGTGAGGAAGAAGAGACGGACAGGGAGGGAATTGAGAAAAGTGAGAAAGAAGTTACGGTCAGGGAAGGAATTGAGAAAAGTGACGAAGAAGTGACGTGATGTAGATTCTGTAGACCAATTCTGGTATAGAATAGTTGATGGCATTGACTGCATGGTAATGTTGGTGGAGGATGAGGTTGATTTTGTTGAGCTTTTCTCTCATTGTTTGACTTCTTCGTTTTCTATTTTGGTGCATTTAAGGTTTTTGGTTCCAGATGGTGTTGGATCGCCACCAGTTGGTAGAGTCTCAGGCTTGTGTTTCAAATGATTTAGGCTGAATTCCAGTGGCTTTCAGTGTTGTTTTCAGTTGGTCCTTGTATCTTTGAAAAGGACAATCCAGTAGTCTTTTCCCTGAAGTGAGATCATTGAATAAAACTTGACACAGAAACCTTGACTCTTCCATTCTTGCTACATGTCCTGAACATTGAAGAGATTGTTTCATGTTCAGTGATTCCATGCTTTGACTGTTGCCTCTTTCTAGAATTTTTTTTGTTGGTCACATATTATTCCTATTTGATGTTCAAGATTAAAGAAAGCTTTTGCTGGGGAAAGCATTCTAATTTCTGGATGTTGCGATGATATAGAGTTCAGGTTTCACAGAAATATAACAAGGTTGAAATGACAATACTATCATAGACAATTTTTGTTATTAAGTTCTGATCTTTGTTGAAGACATGTTTGATTAGCTTTCCAAATGGTCCAATTCTGTGTTACTGTTGTAGAGTAGTTTTCACAGTGGAGGCTTGTATTTCGCTAAGTCAGTCCTAAAAAGGGTCCAACGTACAAAACGTTAGGAACTTGAAATAAGAGTTAATGACGCAGCAATCTAGTTGTGATGGTTGATACTTCAATGTCTGACATCAACTGACTCGATCAACACCACTGAGCCCAACTAGCCACTGCTACTACTACTTATTATCTGTGGGAGAGTCTATTACAATAGAATAGGTATTATGGTATAACAGTTACAAATCTTTTTCTGAGATGCACTTGTTTGATAAAAGGCTGCTTAGATGTGAAAAATGGTTCTACTGGTTTCAAGTGGTGTATCACAGATGGTAATATCTATATCTGGTAAGATGGTATTTGGAGCTGTCTGTGAAAAGACCACGGTAAAACAAGATGTGTCTTAGCACCTATGCTATTCTTGTATCTGACTGTAATACTTCACAAACTTCCTCCAGACAATCCAAGAGTTAACATCAGATATCAATATGATGGAGCACTTTTCAACCTTAATAGACTTCACACTAAATGTCTAACACACATCTCAGAACTTCAATATGTTGATGACAATGCTGATCTTTGTCATTCAAAAGAAGACCTCCAACAGTCTCTGAACAACTTTGGTATGACCTAACATCACTTTGGCTTTACAGTAAACATCAAGAAAACCAAGGTCCTTACACAGCCAGCTCCAAATACCATCTTACCATTGCAAACTGACATACTAAAGATATATTATTCCAGCATCCCAGTACTGAAAAATCTTCCAGTTGTCCTTCAGTTATATGAAGAAAGATGCTTAAATAAGATTAAAGAACTAAAATGCTACTATTGACCCAAATTTCACCATATTTGCTTAAGTTGTTTTCAAATGTCCATAAAGAATAAATCAAAAAGAAAAATTTTAAATATATCAAAATAGTGCAACAGTTTTTGAAGAGTGCAACCAGTTAAAAATGAAAGAAAAACCTTAAACCTTAAATGAAGAATAAAAAGAATGTATCAAGAGAAATGTTGATAAAACCTACAAGGATGAGAAGATCAGACCAAATAACTCATAGAATGAAGATTTCCAATTTAACTTAGGTAAATTATATATATATATATATATATATATATATATATATATATATATATATATATATATATATATGCATACTTTTAACTTTAAAATCAGGAGGTCACTTGAATTCGCTACATTGGTTTCAACCTTACAGTATCCTCAGGCGATTTTTATCAAATGACCTCTTAATGTTTTATTTTTTTAAAAAACTAATGAATGCTATATTATTATTTTGAAAAATAAATAAACAAATGCACGAATTTGGGTGTAATAGAAAGGGAGGGGGAGGATGTGAAGAAAGAGGTGGAATAGAAGAAAAGCAAGGGTATTGTAAAAAAAAAAAATGTACATTTCAATTACCCCCCTCCCCACAGATACATTTACAATACCCTTGCTTTTTCTTCTTCTGATTGGATTGTCAAATACCTGGCCAGAGATACCATAACCCTTGAGCTTGCAGAGAAAGCCAGTATGCCAAAACCTGTCAAATGCTTTTGAGATATCGAAAGTCATACAGTTATTATCTAAAGCCTGATAGACAAATTCAGTAATAATTATTAACACATTGGTGGTACCTCAAGAAATGAAAGCCACATTATTTATCTGAAAGATGACTGTGTGATTAGCACCTCTAGCATTTTGCCAGAAAGATGTAAAAAAAAAAAAAAGACTAATACGATGATAATTTGAGAAGGTTCACTAAAGTTCTTAAAAACAGGAACTGCAGAAGAGGAATTCCAACAAACTGGAAAGCAAGCAGCAGCAAGGCATTTCTTGAAGAGTTTGGAAAGAGCAGAAGTCAGTTCAAGAGAAGGAAAATACCATCAAGTCTGCAAAACTTTTTGAGATTTAATTTATCAATGATAACAGAAACCATGTATGGAATTATGTTCATATATGAACTCTCTGTCAAATGATGAGTACGCACCAACAATCCAATTTAACTTATGTAATAACTTTATATATAGATGATTTTGTTTTTGCATATAATATTTATCTTGGGTTTACTTTTTTCTAGTCTCTGTGCACATTTTTCTCCTTGATTGCACGCTGATGAGAGGATGGGGAGACTGATAAACCAGGTTAGCTGTCTTTATTTTAATTGTTGTTGTATTTCTATATTATCAGTTTACAGTGATATTTTTTTTGTTACTCCATTTTTTTTCTTATTCTTTTAATAAATTTTCATAATACAGTGGAGCCTCAGTTCCCGAATTTAATTCATTCCTGAAGGCCATTGATTTAATTCATTCCTGAAGGCCATTTATTTAATTCATTCCTGAAGGCCATTTATTTAATTCATTCCTGAAGGCCATTTATTTAATTCATTCCTGAAGGCCATTGATTTAATTAATTCCTAAAGGCCATTGATTTAATTCATTCCTAAAGGCCATTGATTTAATTCATTCCTGAAGGCCATTGATTTAATTCATTCCTGAAGGCCATTGATTTAATTCATTCCTGAAGGCCATTGATTTAATTCATTCCTGAAGGCCATTTATTTAATTCATTCCTGAAGGCCATTTATTTGTAAACTGAAACTATTTTTCCAATAGGAATCGATATAGAGAAAAAAAAGTTACAGTACAATAAAATTGAAAAATGTATACAACACAGTAATTGACTCAGAAATTATTCCATTTGTGTTAACTCGGTTTGGCTATGTTGTTCAAGAACTGAAATTTTGTTTAATAACCGAGGCATTTTCATCTCGAATTTTCTGTTTGAAAACTGATTTGTTCAATGTGTGAGACATTTGAGAACTGAGGTTCCTCTGAATGTCTTTTTTATCACGCTAATAAAATTTTGTATCCTTTCAAAAATATTTCAATACTTGCAGACCAGGTACACTCTGGATTTAATTTGTGAGTTAAATAATATTCTTAAACTTCAAGGTAAAATTCAGACTGCTCATTCCAAAAGGTTTTTTTCTTCAACTGTGTCTGGAGAATTGAATATGTCCGATGTATGTTAGTTTTCATATTTACTAGGACAAAACATAATATTTTTGAACATGCCTTTATTCATGAGGAAATTGCAAAATTGTCCATTAGTATTGATAAATTAAAGAGGGAGGTGCAGAGTTGTTGGACGTTTTGTTGTGGTTTTTCATCTTATTTTAACAATATACACTTTGGACATCATCTTGCCATTATTGATGGGCATAGGTCTATTACTTTACAAATTAATCATCATGTGAAGTTAATAAGTAAATATTTTGTCAACTCATCTACTTCCAGTAATAAGGTTGTTTTGAATTTAACTAAATATCAGTCATCTACCACTTAACTCTCTGTATTATCTCATGGATTTAAATTCTGTATTGTTCAGTTGTCTATTAAGAGAATATTTTTGTGGAATTTGAAGTGTTTAAATGTCAAAATTTTCCTCTCTTTCTTCAGGTAAGTGCATTAAAAGTTAGGTTTAATAATTTTATGGCTTACCCAAAATGAATAAAGATAATGTTCCCTTGCTTCCAATTTTATCTATGGCTGAGTTGGTACAGCACAAGTTGGCAAAATGGTTGGCTGTTTTGTTGCAACTTGTGCAGGAATGTTATAAAACTGTGTCAAGAACTCATTTACTTTTGCCAACTATATGCAGAACTGTCCTTTTAGTGGTAAGGATAAGCTTATGTGCTCATTTGACATCAGCTGTTTATTCCCTTGCGTACTGTTGCAACAGACTCTATTGATATTTGTGCTGATGCTTTGTACCGTAGTCATTTTTCCCTCATCCTATTTCTGAAGCCATCTTCATAGAGCTGCTGGAGTGTCTGCTACCGTGTCTGTGGAATTTAGCTTTGATAAAATCACATAGAGACAAATAGATGGGATAGCGATCGGGAATCCTTTGGGGCTGACAATGGCAAATATATTTGTTGTTTTTAGCAAGATTTACTTGCACATTTTAAAGAACACCATTAGTAGACAGTGTCATCAATATATCTGATGTTGACATTTTTTGTGTTTAATAATGAGGTTAACGTTGATATATTCCACTTCAGTTGACTTAAAACATTGCACCTGACTTTGCAGTTCACATACAAAAGGCAGAACAAGGTTGTTCTTTCTTTTTTGGGTATCCAAGTAGACAGATCAAATTAAGGATGTACTGGAAACCAACCATTACAAGCTTATATACCTGATCAATTTGATTAAGGCTTTGCTCCATCAGGCCTTAGTAATATACATTGAAACAAAATTAAATTCAAAATTGAATTTATTAAGAAAGTTCTGAGTGAGAATGGATATTCATTGGATATTGTGGAGTCCAACA